CAAAAACATGCTTTGAGATATATATGAATGTATTGCACATAATCTAGAGAATAAAATCGTGAACATCTTTGATTAATTGATTGTGATTGATTGATTGGTTGGTCGATTGATTGGCTGATTGAAAGTGGTAGGAAAATTGCACTTCACGGCCATTAAAATTGTGTATCATTTTGAATCAGCCATACCACACCTCACGGCGTGACTCACACTTGTATTTAAAACATGCACAACACGAGGCATACACACCACAAGGCGATTGAATACACGCACTTACACACACATACACACTCATACGCACACAAACACTCATACACACACGTACACACACATGAAACAAATTTTAATCATGAGTTTTTGCAGGATGGGCATTCGATCGAACCGGTTAGCCACGCCATACGTTGCCTTGCAACCTGAGCTAAGTCAAGTTAGGAATTATTTATTTATCTTTATTTCAAATTTTTCATTAAAAAACGAAAGAATAAATTATTGAAGTTCACTTTTATTTTATTTTGGAGGGATAACATATTATGGATTCTAAGATCTATTTATATGGCTCTGTGTTTACGTGACCCGATCAGCTGTTTATCGGAAAAAACGCTTTCTATTATTAGCCTGGAAATTCCCAGGTTGTTTTTACGCGGATAATAAATAAATTTATTATATTATTATAGTTGCCGATATTATTTGCGTATAATTAATATTATTCTTTCATGATTATAGCAATTAATAATATATATATTATTTTATATATTATGTTATAATTATATTCTTATATTGTAATTGCATTGTATTGCTGTTTGAGGTTTGTCTCTGTAAGAAGACATGTCTTATCTTATCTTACTATACTTATAAATAAATAAGAAGTCTGTAATTCTTATAGTATAGAGAAATAATATTTTATACAAATGTTTTTCTATTCTTTTCAAGTTTATTTGTTTCGATTAGAGATTTAGTTAAGGTTGGCATTAGGATTTGAATCTTGTTTTTCTATTATAAATAAATTATAAAAAGCACTTTACTTTACATACAGATAGGCTTCACTCACAATTTATTAGATAGATACTAGATGGACAATGTTTTGTAGAAAAATCATGTTGTTGTTTTGAATCAAGATGAAACCTTTCAATAATAAAAGAAATAATAATAATAAATGTAAATTATTGCTTAGTGATAAGAAAATTATTCGTAGTGATGATGATGATGATGATGATGATAGGGACGAGGTGTCAATACCGAAACCACACTACCGAATTTATAAGACGATGGGTGAGTTGGTTGTGATTATTATTGTTATTATTATTATTATTATTATTGCTATTTTATTATTATTATTTTTAGGAAATAATCAAAAATAATTAAAAAAAATTAATTCAGACTCCATCATAAACGAATATAAAGAAAAGTTAGAAGACACCGAGAAGTTAAACAAAGAATTATTGGAAAAACTTTACATCAACGACGCCACTACTACTACTTCTGCTGCTACTGCTTCTACTGCTGCTGCTACTATGACTACTACAACTGCTGTTGTTGCTGCTACAACAACTACAACTACTACAGTGGCTACTTTTATTCATGAATGTCCTAATTGTTATTACGTTTTCAGTCACAAAAGATACAAAAACGTCAATAATAATAATAATAATAACAACAACAACAACACAAACAAATGCTTAAATGGTAATGACGAGGATGGCAACTACGTGTCCAACCGCAACAACAACATCAGTGTCCTGTTTAGCAGGCTGAATGGTTACGACATCAATGACCCAAGTAACAATATCATCAACAACAACAACAACAGCACCATCATTAACAACAATGATAACAATAATAAATTACCAAATCTCTGTTTTAGATCTATATATCTGACGAGGAAGGCGATCAAAGAAATCTCTGTTTACATTTAAAAAAGAACAACATTAACAACAACAACAATAATAATAATAATAAGGAAGATGATGATGACGATTCATGGTCTTTGATCAATAATTCCCCAACTTGTAACCTGATAAAATTTTCATCATCACCTGTCCCCAGAAAAATGGCAGACTCCAGTAGCGACGGATCATCCTTTATAAAGATAAATGACGTAAGTGAACATTCCTCGCAGGGTAAGTTATCCCCAGGTACATTCCTGATTTCCACGTCCCCGTTTGAGATTTTCCCTAATTTCAAGGAAAAGGAGGAGGAAGGAATTAGTGTTTCCTCGGCCCGAAAGTGTATTCATGAGATGAGGAAGTCTAATGATTACAGCCTCATCAACAACAATAACAACAATAGAAATATAAACAACAACATAAACCATAACAACATAGATATAAACGGCATAAACAACAGCAAAAACATAGATACAAACAACATAAACAACAACACCAACAAAGATATAAACAACATTAACAACAAAGATATAAACAACGTAAACAACAACACAAACAAAGATATAAACAACAACACCAACACAGATATAAACAGCATAGACAGTAAAGACAACATAGATACAAAGATTATAGAGCATAAACTACGTGAAATTAACCAAATAATAAAAGATAATCCGCAGATATTCGATAGACAGCAAAAGTACCTTGATGTTACCTCAAGGCTTTTGAGTTGCTTCAAAACAGCTCTTGTTCAACAAGTAATGTACTTATTATTACTTGTTATTAATTATTATTATTAATTATTATTATTAATTGTTATTATTAATTATTATTATTATCTGTTTTTGTTGTTGTTGTTATAATTATTATTGATATTTATATATCGATCTATCAATTATTACCAAAGAATAAGTCAGTCTATAGGTACATCCGTACATCAATATAACCTTCTGTCGTCCTTTAATTTATTTATCAGTCAGTCATTCATTCATTCAGTCATTCATCTATTCATTCATTCACGTATGCATTCATTCATTCATTCATTCATCCATCGGTCAATTTTACACTAGCTAGTGGAAGAGAACGAATATTTGAAAGCACAAATGATAACGCTTATTCATTTCCCCATCAATTCGTTCATTCATTCATTCAACTATTCATTTATTCATTCATTCATTCATTCAACTATTCATTTATTCATTCATTCATCCATTCATTCATCCATCCATTCATCAGTCGATATTACATGTGCTAGAGAACGAGAACAAACATTTGAGAATGCAGCTGGTGGTGCCATCAACAGATGAAAAAATATCCAACAGGTCTGTCTGTTGCTCTCACTAGTATTACTATCAAGACCGCGACCACTACTACTACTACTACTACTACTACTACTACTACTACTACTACTACTACTACTACTACTACTACTACTACTACTACTAATACTACTACTACTACTACTACTACTACTACTACTAATACTACTACTACTACTACTATTACTTCTTCTACTGCCGCTGTTAATACTTCTTCAAATGTCAATAAAATGATTGACATGCAATAATTGAAGTGACTAGCGGCGAATCACACTTCATACTAGAGCCTTTAATGAATGAATGAATGAGTAAATGAATGAATGAATAAATGAATGAACGAATGAATGAATGAATGAATGAATGAGTGAATGAATGTGCGAATGAATTAATAAGTAAAACAAATAGTGGATAAATCACTGAATGGAACACGTAGTGTTCCTAATCTCTTTCCCGGAATAAGTTGAGTTGTATAATAGATCTGAGCCTGGAATTAAACAACAAAACTGTGTTAGTAGAAACAGCAACGACAACAACGAAAATTATTGTTACCGGTATTATTATTGTTACTAGTATTATTATTGTTATTATTGTTGTTGTTGTTCTTTTTAATGTTGTCGTTGTTTTTGTTGTTGTTAAGGTGTCACCGCAAATCATCATCGTCACCGTAACCAACAGCATGGCGACATTATCAGAAGCGATCGTGACGATGACAACCACACTGACTTCCACAAATCAATTTCAAACTTCCAACAACAACAACAACAACAGCAGCAGCAACAACAACAATAATAATAATAATAACCCTTGTACTGAAGTAACGAGGGACAAGAGAAATGATGATTTTTTCAATAGGAAAACTCTTGAAGAGGTTTTATGATTATGATCGTTAAAAACATGCATACAAACACACACACACACACACACACACACACACACACATACATATATACATACATACGTACACACAACACACACTCATTTATGTGTATTTTCAACGTATTAGGCGTAAATTTCCGTGTACGTATTTTTTCAAGTTGTAATAATGAATGGCTAACATTAATATTAATATCTCCTTTGCTCTGAGCGTAGAAGTGTTTGTAGATGTGTGTGTGTTTTTTTTTTATGTATGAATGTGTGTGTGTGCGTATGTGTGCGTGCGTGTGTGTGGTGTGTGTCACCTCATGTGAAAACCTAAATGTTTATTTGCAGGCGCGTTATTTACCTGCTATTAATAAATCGCTTAGTTAAGTTCAAGGTTTTTTTTTATCGATTGCCGCGAGTGAGTGAGTGGATGAACAGATGAGTGTATGAATTAATACGTAAGGGAATTGAATTAATTAATTGAATTAATTAATTAATGGATGGATGGATGAATGGATGATTGAATGAATGGATGGATGAATGAGTTACTGAGAGAAGAAAAAATGTAAATCAACTTGATCAACCAGTCACCAACTCTATAATAATTAACCAACAAACTAATCATAAAATCGCAAATTTATCCAATCAAAATCAATCACAAGTAAATTAAACTATCCCTCCAACTAATCAAAATCAGTCAAACTATCAATCGTTATCAGTCAAGCTTCTATTCATTGTCAATCAAGCTACCGCCCTAGCCAATAGCAAGCAACCAACCAAACATTTAACTCAACCTCAGCCAATCAAAATTACTACTACTATAGTTTACCACATTCAACCTAACTAACTTCTACTTCAGCCAATCACAATCGATCCAACTATCACTTCAGCCAAACACAATCGACCACAGACCTCAAAACCAACCAATCAAAACAGCTTAAAGTTACGAAACAAAGACTGTTACTCTTTATCGCTGAAAAAGATCGGGAGTTGAACTGCCTCAAAGAGCGTTACGCAAACCTGACCAATTACGCAACTAAGATGAAGTCGGTTTATTTTCGTGACGTCACTAAGCTGAAAGAAGAACTTAACGAGAATTATAATAAGAAAGTTGCCGAATTAGAGGTTTATTTGCGCTCTGGTAGATGATTTTGATTGGTTGCCACGTTTTGTTGAATTTAATCTGATTGGTTTGTTGTGTGTGTGTGTGTGTGTGTGTGTGTGTGTTATTGTTTTATAAATGGTTTTATCGGTTCTTTCTGGTTTATGTTTGGATATTTTGCTGTTATTATTATTAATAGTAGTAGTAGCAAAAGCGGCTGTGGTAACAGCAGTAGTAGCAGCAGTAGTAGTAGTAGTAGTAGCGGCAGAAGTGGTAGGAGTAGTAGTAGCAAACGTCGAAATAAAAGCAAAAAAATTAATTTTACAGAAATGTAGGCGCGACCTCTTGAAGCAGTTGGATCGAGAAAAATGGAGAGGGCGAAAGTTGGAGGAATTAAACTTTCTCCAATCCGAACAATTGAAATCTTTCGAGTTTGATTTGAATAATAAGAATAATAATAATGCCAGTTCTAAAAATAGCACAAGAGATTCCAAGGTTGCTTGATGTCGTTATTATTGTTTTTTTTTATTAAAACTGCTGTGGTTATTATTATTATTATTATTATTATTATTAGTGGTAGTGGTAGTAGTAGTAGTAGTAGTAGTAGTAGTGGTAGTAGTAGCAGTAGTAGTATTGGTCCACATAATTCAATTTAGCTTACCGATATTATTGCTATTCTGGAAAACATTATTTTTACTTGTTAGTTACTTAAACGCAGATGCTATAAATAGCAATAAAATAAAATATAATAATAATGACAACAACAATAATAATAATGATAATAGTAATAATAATAAAAACAAAAATGATAATAATAATAAAAATAACAATAATCTCCTCTTCCAAGCAGCATGGAGGAAGTTCTCGCGCGTCCATAGACAAGAGCACTGAAATTGAAATTCTCAAGCAACAGGTTCTGCTCAATAATTATAATAATAATAATTATTACTTATTATTAGTATTATTATAGTTATTATTTATTATTATTAATTATTATTGTTGTTGTTGTTGCCTAGGTTACGACATACAAGGAAGATTTCGATAGCGAACGTCGGGACAGAGAAAAAGCCCAATCGATGATATTAGATCTGCAAAAACAGGTAGGCCAACCGGTCATGTTACTACAATGGCGTAATTGTTAAGATGTTTGGCACTGGTGTTGTAGTAACCGGATTCAAATGCAAAGCCGTCCCCGCGTGTCTTATACATTGTGTTGGATGCGTTGTAAGCTTGTTCGTTTTTCATATCTCCAAGAAGTACTTGGTAGATTTTTAAAAAAATATTATATCGATAATTATAAATGATAATAATATTTATAATAATTATTATTATTTCATTATTTTTAAATGTTATTATTTTAAATGTTCATTTAATAGCATGAAGAACTGACAAAGACAGTCCAAAGATTACAATCAGAGAATGAGGCTTTGAGGAGAGCAGGAAACAGAGACAGAACTAGATGGGTGGGATTTTTTAATTAATTATTCATTTAAATTATTCATTTATTATTAAAATATAATTTTATTATCACCATAACTATTTTATTAGTTGTAGTTCAAAAATTTTAAACTCATCTTAACTCAAGTCAAACCATTATAATCTCTCAATGGCGATTCTAAAGTTTCAAAACCCCGAAACATTCCCACAAAAGGAAAGATCCTATCACACTCCGAGTACCGTAACCGCAATCCAGACGTACAGAATTCCTCCAAGTTACGACGAAATCGATGGTTCGAATGCAAGACGAGCCGGATTTAAACTAACTACCAACTCAACTGACACTAATTCCCCGGATGTGCGTTGGGTTTGCAACAGTTGCAGGTATAAAAATAATAAAGAGGATGACGTCTGTTATGTATGCCGTTGTAGTAGTAAGATGACAAGTTAAGGATGAGGTCGACGGTTCGAACGCAAGCCGAGCCGTATTCATACCAGCTGCTAACTTAACTAAGGTTTAATAATTTTGTGGGTTTGTAACAGCTGGAGATATAAAAATAGTGATGATGGCGTTGTTATGGAGTGATGGTTAATGGTGGAATCTGCAGTCTGCAAGTGATCTTGAAAAGTTACTGTTAGGATCTTATTTTACATTCCCGTTCTCTGTTTCTTCTTTACAATTTTCATTTCTCATGTTTGCTTTGTTTATCCATTTTAGACAGACAAAGTGTGTGTGTTTTTGTATACATGTGTGTGTGTTTGTATGTGTGTGTGTTTTTGTATACACGTGCGTGTGTGTGTTTGTATGTGAAGAATAACTTTTTACTAATTGTAAAAAATTTATTGGCGAAACATTTCAAAAACATTATCTAACTTTTGGATGAAAAAATGTGAACCAAAACAAAAAATTTACATTGAATAGCAGATATGCCCCAAAAACGTGTATAACACAGAGACACTAAGAGATATACACATACATATCCTTACACACAAACACACACACACACGCCTACGTACGTAACTATTTGTGTCTGTATGTGTAAGTATGTCTGCTCAGTTCACAGTTATTTGGTTGTCTATTTATTAACTTGAAACAGTAGAAGCCGTAAAATATTTTTTCATTTCTTGAATTTTTTGAAAATCTTGAGTTTCTTTTCAATATTTTCACCATTTTAACTTACTTGTCTTTAACGAAAGATACATGAATAATATTAGTTATTTAACAATCAGCTCATTCATTTTTCTACCTCCTATTGGCCATTGGTTTTAACAAACAACAAAGATAACTATGATCATCATCGTCGTCGTCGTTACAACTCTCTCTCTCTCTCTCTCTCTCACTCTTTCCTACTTTTCCTTCTCTTTCAGCTATACACGTTAGAGTAATGAATGTTGATGATAATAAATACAAACATTCAAACCACTAAAAAATTAATTTATCTATTTATTTTACTTTAATAACGAAAATGGAAACCAGTTCTAAATAAAAAGAAAGATTCGACATTTTATTTTTTATAAGCCAAAAAAAGAATTTCCGAACAAACGAAAAATGAAATATAAATGAAAACAAAGAAAAGAAAATAACAAAAAAATATAAATAACAAAAACGGAAACAAAGAATAAACTACGAGAACAAGACTAACAACAATAATAATAATAATAATTATTATTATTATAACAAACCTTATAATTATTATTATTATTGAATAATAACTGTTATCATTTGTATTAATGTTATTACATTGATAAATATAATAAAAAAATTATACAAAGAAACTGAATCATACATAAAACTCAGAAATAATGATAGCAAAAATTGTTATAAATATATATATATATATATATATATATATATATATATATATATATATTGAATATATAAACACACACACGCACGCACGCACGTATTGACATATAGAATGTACGTGCATAATAACAACGACGTTTAAAAAAACATAAATGTATACGTATGATAGAACGAACGAACGAATGAATGTATAAATAGATGAATGAATGAATGAACTAACGAATGAATGAATGAATGAACGGAACCGAAGAATATTTGAATAATCATTCAGTTAATTAAAAAATTAATTAACAAGATGTCACTGAGTGGACCAAACTAAGTTATCGACAACTAGTTTATATATATATATACATACATACATACATATACATATATATATATATATATATATATATATATGCGTGTGTGTGTGTGTAGTTATTACACAGAAGTAATAGTAGTAATTAATTGTAATAGCAGGGAGAATGAATGAGAATGTTAGTTAGTAATACTAAGAAACGCAATTTAAGTAAACAGATACTAATAACTGCTGTAATTACAATAATAATGATAATAAACGTGAATGATATATATCGTATGAGTTTTATTTGTTGCCACTTCCATTTAATTCTTTATTCACACGCGCGCACACACACACGCACACATACATACATACATATATATATACCTCAATTGCAGTTGAGGTATACAAAGTTTACATATATATATATATATATATCTTTATCTTTAAAGATATAAGGAAATATAAAGATAATTGTAATATAAGTAATTTTTTGCTGAATATGAAAAACGAAATAAACAATAAAAATACAGTCAATGTTAACAGCAACATAGACACTGACCTCAACATACATACATACATACATACATACATACATACATACATACATACATACATACATACATACATACATACATACATACATACACATACACACATATATATGTACAAACAAGCACAGACAAACACACACAGACACGCACAAATTAGGACTAAACCGATAAAAAAAAGACAATTACCATATAATGACTGACAGTGAAAACACACGAATAGAATAAACCCACAATAACAACGATGCAACATCAGCAGAGCAGCAACAACATCAATAATAATAATAACAATAATAATTACAATAATAATAATTACAATAATATTAACAAAATTAACAATATTTGAATAAAAATTAAAAAAAGTATATATAACACTGCTTATAAAAAATCACGGTGCCAATTATTATATATGGGTAATCTCTTGCGTATATATATATATATATATATATATATATATATATATATATATATATAAACATAAATTTATTTAATTGTACAGTTCAACAAAATTATATTACAATAATAATAATGAGAGAGATATCAATTGAGTGTATGTGTATATATATATATATATATATATAAAACTGAACAATTTTTCTGCTTTGTTTTATCTTCTCTTCTGACACAATCACTCGCTCATTCATTCATTTAATCATTCATTTAATCATTCATTCACCATCCGCCAATCAATCAATCGATCGATCAGCTAACCAATCATTAATCAATTATTCCAGTCTAAAAAGTTTGTGCAACAAATAAATCATCAAATAAATAAATGAATTGTTTAACTGTTTGAATTAGTCAATTAACCAATCAACCAACTAGTTTTAAACAACCAATCAAACGCATATTCAACCTCCTTAAAAACCGCTCAACAAATCAAATACGGTCATCAATCACACGACAGCCAATCAAACACGAAGACATCACCCATCCAGCCAATCAGATCACTGTCCATTAATGAGTTGCTCTCCATTGACGCCTGCCATTTTCTGTGGACTACAATCTTTGTAAGCCATGTCTCCTCCTTCACCAGCTCCACCCCTTTTTGCGTCGTTCATTGGGTAGTTGTTGGGGCGGAACTGAGGGGGCTTGTTACTGTTCGGCCCTCCTCCGAGGTTCGCTTTGGGGTTGTACTTGCCTGCATGGACATTTTTTTTCTCATGTTTTAAGAATAATCAAATTTACTTCGGGAGGAAATAGTTTGTGGATAGAGATAAACTAATTCCACAATTCAATGAGTTTAAATTTTAAATAGTATGTCATAATCTTGAACAAATTACGAATTGCAGAAAGTTGAAAGAGGGACAAGTTACCCCTAAAGCTGCCACCGCCCCTGAGACCCCCTCGGCCGTCATCTCCATGGTAACGTTGGTCTGAGAATGGTGGACCCCTGTGCTGGGGTGGGGGACCATCAAATCGAGGACCATCGTTGAAGTTGTTGTCTGATTGGTTGGTTGGTTGAATGAAAGTTGGTTGCTGCAATGATAATATTAAGTACTGATCATGAAAATACAAACCCTGCAAACTAGGTCGATTACCGGGCCATCGACCACCACCAGGTGGTCCACCACCCCCTCTACCTCCTCGACTCCTCATCATCGGACCGCCTCTGAAGTCTTCCCTGTCTGACTCTGATTCTCTGGGATTGAACCTAGGGTATCTGGGCGGGTAGGTGTTGTCCCTTGATCCGATGTTCAAATTTCGTAACTCCATGTCCAGTTGGCGTTTCTGCTGAGTCAGTTGTTCCACTTCCTGTGCACGTGATGATGATGCTGATGACGATTCTACTCGCGATGATAATGAGTACAGCAATGATGATGATGATGATGAGGCTAACAACGACAAAGATGACAACGAACGACGAAAGCAAAGCCCTGACCTTGAGGTGGATGACGTGATAGTCCAGCAGTAACTTGGCGTTGTTTATGCTATCTGCTGTACCAATGAACACAAATGGCACTGACTGAAATGAATAAAAGAACGAAAAAACAAGATATAAAATTTTCAAAATATCTGATAGTAAATTGGGTTGTATCTATAGAAATCAACAAATAAATGATAGCAATTTCTATATTCCTAGCTTTAGAACCTTCCTAAGTTTAACAAACTCATTTTAATTATCACGTAATCAAGATTCAGAATCTTGTCAATAGCAGAAAGCCACTATTTATATTTATCTATAAATAGCAACTACTCAATATTCATAACCTCATCGCTATTAATATCATGCTGGGCGTCCACATTATCTTCACTTTTAATTTTAACTCTCAGCACACCAGACTTGTCCACTATCTCCTGTATGTGGTGGCCGTTTCTGCCAATCACACGAGCTGTGGGAGGAGTTAAATGAGTGAACAACCACTAAAAAAGATTCAAAAATAGATAAATATTTAAGAATACATAAATATCTTACATAAATATCTGAACTAAATGAACATCTAAATTTATATCTTTCAAAATATCTAGGTGCATTGTATGTCAATGGATGGATTGATTGACTGATTAATTAATAATAATTATTATTATTATAATTATTATTAATTAATTAATAAAAAAATTAATGAAAAAAGTACTACACTACATTGCTGGCCGTAACTGACCATTACACATTTGAATGTTAACAACAAAATTAATTAATTAATAACCAAGACACTTAGCAATAACGAGTAAAAAATACAGCCAGGAAGCATCACAGAGAATCATTAGCAATGGAATCAATGAATACAAAAAGCCCAACACACAACAACACACGTTTAGACGGCATTTTCCCCGAGATCGGGGGTTGCCGTTTGGCTACCTATGATGAAACCGAAATACCCCTCGACGCCATCCACATCTGTCACTCGCCTCAGTATCACGCAACCCCGCTTTCACCCTGTCCTTCTCCACCTGCTCTCTCCATCCCAATCGCGGACGACCATACAAAAAGCCCAAACAAAACCAAAACCCACAAAATCAACAAACAGCAGACCGTTAAACACGAAGGCAGGCAAAAAACGAAACTAACAAAACAAATACAATACAGAGAAACAAAGAAAAGACACGAAGAGAAAAAAAACGAACAGATAAGATTTCTAGGCAGATCAACTGTTTCTTTTTTAAATTCTAGCATGGATCTCGCTGCTGAAACTGCTTGTGCTGTCTGCAGAATGATGACGATGATAACGAAGAAGATTATGATGATGGTGAAGATGATAATGAGGATGAAGAAGATGATGACGACTATAAATAAGATGAGGATGAGGATGGGAAGGGTGATAACGAGAAAGGAGGCAGCAACAAGCACAGGCCAACACAGAACAACCAAACCAGCAACAAAAACCAACAAAGTCAAAACCCCCAAAAATTGACTCTTACATCTCCGTAGACAGTAAACTTGCAAGTCTCTTCATCAAGTTCTATGCCCTTGATGCCGGGCAGCTGCTTGGCCTGCTGTATGTTGGCCCCGTGACTGCCAATAGCAAGGCCCATCAAATCTTTCTGCACCACAAAGTCGTCATGGAAGTTGGCAGTCGGGTGGTTGTGGTAAAGTCGAACTGATTGCTGTATGAAATGAGTGTGTATCAGTCTACATGTGCATATGTATGTATGTGTTATTAGTACCTTGCCAACCAATCAAATTCAAAATATAATGACAAAAAACTCACAAACAAACAAATGAACAAACAAACAAACAAACATCATACCTCTAATTTGTTAGAAGCATCCTTCATCATCTGGACCAGGGCAAACTTCTGCTTCAAACTCTTCACATGCATGTCAGACAGCAGTATTGCTTTTTTAATTATACTTTCGTCACTTGACTGAAATGTTTATTTTGTATTATTAGAATAAGAAATAGAGAGAGAGAGAAGAGAAAGAAGAGAAAGAATGATGGAGAAGAAAGGGCTAAGAAAAATCAAATAGACAGAAGAGGAGGTACCAATCAACCAACAATAAAGTTAATCAACCAATCAATCAATCAACTAATCAACTGATCAATCAATCAACCAGTTAATTAAAATAAAACAGACCAACCAGCACGATAAGACTATTTGACTTCTTATTGTATTGAACGCAGGAAGCACCAATCTTCTGCTTGAATTCTCTGTGATTGTTCATGTCCTGACATCTTTGGACAAAAATATTGTTTAATGAATAATTAATAGCATAATGGATAATAATAATGAATAATAATAATAATGATAATAATAATAAACTCACAATGATGAGAGATCAGAAGGTACTTGAATGACGTGCTTATGTATGCTCTGGCTTGTTATGCTAGTGCTAATCATATTAATGAAAATAGTAACATTGATAATTATAACATCAATAGTAATAATAACCATAATTTTAATAACAAATAATTAAATAAATAAAATATATATATATTTATATAATATATATATATATCAAATCAAATCACTTTTATTCAATCAAACAAAACAAAAGCATGAATGA